GCGAGCAGCTTGGGCCGCAGCGCGGCGGCGGTGGCGGCGGCGGCGGCGGCGGTGGCCGTAGTTGGGCCCCCACAACCTAAAAATCCCCGCGGCGCAAAGCAGAATCCACTGGAGCGACTAATTGCGACGGCATCGAGCTGCGAAGCTGCCGAGGTCGCTCTCCACGCTGGGCCTTCAGTGGCCTGCACGCGCCGCTTAGTCCTGACGCTAGAAGCCGTGATGGCGCTGGTGGGGTTGTCTTCCAGCAGCGAAGACGGGGGATGCGTCACGGACGCGCTGGAGGTGTTGTCGTGGCTGCGGCCCCGTTCACCGCCGGCTCCGCTTTTCCACCAAGTGCTCGTCATGGCACCGGGCACCCGCGGTACGTCGCCGCTGCTGGCGCTGACGCGTGCGCGGTGGGACGGCGTGGATGAGGCCTGCGCTCTTGCCCGCGTTCTCGCTGACGCAGTACCGAACCCGGCGCAGGGCGGCCAGGCTGCCCGCCGACGCCGAGGTGCAGGCGCTTCCGCCTGCTTGTGTGCCGCCTGCTCTGCGGCGTTTGCGCCTCCCTCGCCGACGCCTTTGGCCTTCCACCGACGCAGTTCGTGGAGCGCCTGCGCCTCGGCGCCGGCGACCAGGCCGCGATCAGCGCGGTGTGGGACGGGTGTTCCGCGACTTCACGCTGCCGTGCGGCCTCCTGTACGGCTGCGCCGGCCCTTTTCCCCCGATGCGCGTGTGCCTTCTCACAGGCGGGCTCGGGGGCGCTGCTGCTTGGCCTGGCGTTCGACGGATCCGCCCCGGGGAACGCGACCGACTTCTCCGTGCGCTGCGCCGTGATGGGCACCCGCGCCGGTCTCGTTGGGGCGTGGCCTACGCTGTGGCGTTGGCGGAGGCCTCCCCGCCCCCCATGCGCCTGCGAAGGCGCTGGCCGGGCGTGGCTCCCCCGTGCTCGCCGCCGTGGGCGTGAGCCTCTTCGGCGACAACGTCTCCGGCTTCGTTTACGCCATCGTGGCGCACTCCGTCGTGGTGTGCGGCGTGGCGGCCCTCGCGGTGGCCCTGCCGCCGTACTTCGCCAACGGGAGGCGGTGGCGCGGCAGGGGCGAGGAGCAGCTCGCCGCGATGAGGGCCCTGGATCCCGCGTACCGCCGCAAGTTTGTCCCGGTGCGTCGCCTGGGCGTCGGCTACGTCGTTGTTGTGGCCCTGCTGCTAGTCTTCTTCACCGTGCAGGCCCCCGCGGTGAGCTACACGAAGGTGTCGAGCGGGGCTTCCGTCGCCCTCGGCGTCATCACGCCTGCGCTCGTGCTGTGCCTCTTCCTGATGCTGCTGCCTGTGCGGTGGCTGGGCGGCATGGACGGGCCCTTCTTGACCGCCGGCCCGCGACACGCCGACGCTGCCGCTGAATGCGCGGCTGTCCGACGCTGAGGAGGAGGAGGTGGCGTTGCCTGGCCGGGGCAACAGGGAGAGCCCCGAGCACGCAGACACCGAACTACCGGACACGCCGAGAAATGGGCTGGGTAATGGGGCAGATGCCGCGCCAGACGGGGTCGCAAGTGTGTCTGACGTCGACTCAGAGTCCCCGCAGGATCCCCGCTACGGCGGCTCCGTGT